GGTTGTCGTTTTGTCAGCTCCAACATCTTTTTCAGTCGCGCCGGATCCTTGATGGCTCTGACATTTTTTCCAGTCGAGCAGAATCATCAATCTTATACTTGAAATAATTTGTTGTTGTTGTTGGTAGATATTTAAGTCGTTTTTTTTTTCAAACACCGCATTTCTTACCCTTTAGATCTCTTGCATAATCACCCCTTTGCAAACTAGGGCCATATACCCCCAACCTTTCGAAAACTATGCATTCGACCCTCAGAGTATCCCATATAGCACCTACTCGTCCTACCATACAAAGGTTCCATTGGTGATGAAAGTCCAATGGTTGGACCACCATATCCATATTGAGTCTATTAGTGGGCAGTCGACCCATAGATGGGAGTTCGACTCCCATCCCCATTCACATCGCTGACAGGTGATTGACAAATCCATGCCTCTTGAATTCAGCCAGAGTGTTGTGGCACCACAGTACAGAGATCGTATCCACAACAAACTTGCATCTTTTTGTGAAGGTATCCGACACAAGGTGGTCCAGTGTGCCTGCTAATATAGGGAAACAACCGAATCTCCCATACCTTCTTGTTGCTAGGGCCGTGGGAATAATCACCGTTAACGAATATAAACTTCCATCCCCTCTTTGATCGTATAGTGGCAGAGAGGTGTATTTAGCGCCTTACCCTGAGGACCTTGTTTCCATCCCCTAAGTGGGGGGCCCATACGGAAGTTATCATCATCACCCACCAGGAAAGTATGTTTGTCCAAGAGTTGGAACAACACTTCTGACAAACCAATTGTGGTCGGGATACTTTTACTCTATAGTTTTACCATTGCCATGTCGCTCGTGGTCTTACCTCCTACCCTCCGTTTTTCCACCATACAGCCCGAAGCGAGGTAACCGTTAGGGTCTTCGACTTTCCAAATCAACATGTCATCTTCATGTAATTTTAGCCATCACTCGAATTATTTGTTGAGCTCATTAGGGTCGAGGTCCAACATGGAGGAATAACCTCCAATACCATGGCCAAATTTTACAAGATATTACGAAGGCAGCGCAAACTTTGTCGGAGTTGATATGCAATCGCGCAGTCATCCCGTTGTTTGTCCAACACATATTTGATTAAAAATACTTTTTTTTTTTAGTCCTAGATTTTTCAAAGTTGGTCGTTCCTAAAAATACTCATTTTTCAGTCCCAAAATTTTCAAAGTCGGTCGTTCCTTCCCCTGTTGAAAGAGATTCGTCATCAAGATAGCAAATCAGTGGATTCTCAAAGATACATTGGTTGGTAATCTCTACTTTGATATTAGGAGGGCTTATGGTCTGTGGGAACAACTTATTCCATACAACTAAATACCTTGTCAGACTCTGGACTTAACGCGTCTATTCTGAAAGGAAGGAATGAATTCGTAGGGTCAGACATCACCAAGATGGACAGCGAACATTCCTTCCATGTGATGTATTTGGCAAGTCGAACCCACGATTTAGTGGGATCCTAGAAGACAACTTTGAACACCTATTTGGTTAGGATCGTGAGATTTTGACTTTGAGGGTTCTGAATGCCCAACCTCCTTGAGACCTTAGGAAGCAGATCATGATAGCCTCCCAAGCTACTTTCGTTAAATAACCCTCGTTCTCCTCCGCAAAGGACGTCCATAAATACTGCGCAAGTTCGGTGCAACAACTTTCTTAATCATACATACGTCTCCTTACCCAGGAGCCAGATGGACAAGGGGAAGCATAAAATGGATAATGTGGTTGCAGATATGATTAATGTCATTCAAAAGATTTAAAGAACACGGTTCTTAATCCAACTGTTAATTTTATTCGTCACCCTATCTACAAACAAAAAAACTTAGGTTTTTTAGCAGTCTGTCAGAGCAACATGCAACCCTAAGAAATGCTTTGAGTTTCCTGTGGGCACTAATCGCAAATCCGTATCCACTTTATATGAGTATTGGTGGGGGAGAAAGTAGACAGGTTTTGCCCAGTTGATAGAAACCTCAGACAACAAACAGTAATTATCTAAGACTCCCATCAATTTTACTAGCGAAGAGGTGAAGCTTTCGCAGGCGCCCGTGAGATCGTTTGCAAGCCCCCCCCCAACGAAAAAAAATTCAAAATTAAATAATCATTCCATCTTTAAAAATGTCATTCCAATTTTAAAAATTTTCATCTTACTTGCAAACTTTCATTCCAAGAATAGGGTATCCCTTCTTATTTGAACTGCATGCTAGAGATGGAATGAAAGTCTTGATGAGTTCATGAAATAGTTTAATTGGACTGTCATTCTAAGTAAGGATTTCCAGTCATAAATAGGTGAATCCAGTCTAAATTAGAAGGTATCTGTTGTAGTAGAATGAAAGTTTAATTAAAACATTTCATAAACTCGTCCAGACTTTCATTCCATCTTGAGCAAATAGATGTAGTTGGAAAGGAAAACTCATATTTAGACTGTAAATTATCAAATAAAACTGGAAATTTTAGAATTGGACGATTATGTTTAATATTATCAAGTCACACCTCTAGTTGGAGGACAACGACCAGAGGGTCACAAGGCATTCTTGGCGCAGGGAGCGGGTGAGTAGGAATACTTATAAGCAATCAGCAAACACGCTACAAGATTACTACCAAATAGTATTGAAAACGAAGAGCTTCAAGTATCCGACCTATCAAACCACTAGTACGTGGCCCAATTATGGGCCGTCAACTATGGATCTCGAAAAATAAGAAAATGTTTATAGTCGGATAAATTTAAGGATTTATGTAGTGACCCGTACATTTCATAAAGTGGCGACTTGTTTATGAACACCACTTTAAAAAGTACCACAAACTGCAATGAATAGGGGTAATCAAACAAAAAAATTACTACCGAAATGTGAGCAAGTTTTTATTCTATAGTGACAATGAAATTTTATTAAATAGTATACAAGACCATATCTTTTTTTAGCCACTCGGGGAGAAGGGCTAAGACTTGAGAAAAAGGGCAAAAAAATAAAATAAAAATACTAACTGTGGAGGTCACACGACGTTTAAGTATTAACAGGCCAGTGAAGAAACTTCATCCGTTCTTGGAT